CACACACTCACACCACACTCACACACACTCATACACACACACTGCCACACTCACACACACACACTCATACACACACACACCCCCCACCCCCATCCTCCTGCTCCCAGGCAGCTCCAGGGGCTGGAGGGAGGGGACAGGTGCTCCCACACTCACCCCTCGTACTCCTCCACCGCCTCTTCTGTGTCAGACATGGTCTCTCCCTCCCTCCAGAAAGAGAAAAACGTCAGTGCGGGTGGGAAGGGGCCCGTCTTCCTCAGCTCAGCCCCCTTGTCAGTCCTGGAACCGGCATGGCTAAGACTGTGGCTGTAACAGTGTCCGCATCCTAATTGCAACTTGCAACATAGTTGCACAGATGTTACCACTGGGGGAAACCGGCAAAGTGCACAATGAAGCTGCCTTTTTTTTACAAATGCTGTGTCCTCAGAATGAGGGGCCCGGAGAAGAACCCTGGGGTCAGGTGGGGGGGGGGTCTGTGGCTGACAAGCACTGCTGGGTTCCCGGGGAGCAGCTGGAACTGGAAGCTGAGAACTGAGGCTGCTCCTGGAGCAGGGGAGGAGTTTGTCACCTCCGGGAGGGGTCATGTGCGGCCAGTCAAGGGCATGAGGTCTCTGGTGTCCTCTCCTGCCCTGCCTCCCACCAGCTCAGAGCCACTGGCCCTGGGGTGCAGAGGAGGAGGGAGCAGCCTGGAGCCTTCTCCCTGTTCCTGGGAGCACCACCCAGCTCCCCAAAATAGCATGCCAGCCACCAGAGGGCGGGGGAGGAAAGTCAGGGCCCCAGTTGCCTAGGCCTGGAATGTGTTTGAAATTCCTGACACTCCAGGCAACCCCTTCCCCAAATATTTTCTTCACCTGCTCAGAAGCTAAAAATCAAGGAACTCTCTTTCTGCAGGCATGTTGGGCGGGAAGAGCTAGATTCAGGGCTAACCTCTAACCTAGCGAGCTGAGCTCACAACCCTGAAGGGACCTCCCAGCCCACATCTCTGGGAGGGGAGGAGGCTGGGTCTGGAAACAGGTGAACTTCATCTGCTGGACTGTGGCCCCTCTCAGGGCTTCTAGGGCAGTCTCTGCGTCCTGGAGAGAGTTTGACCCCCTGGACTGCTCCGACTGGTGTGGCCACAATCTCACTCGACTCTCAGGGGACCAAGAAGGACCTGCCTGGGAAGCTTCAGGGGAACCTCAGCCTGCAGGGGGACACCGAGCCATCTAGGGGAGTCCCCGTTGTTAGAGCTTCATGGTATTTAGGGCAGGCAGGGGCCTGATGAGGATCCTGTCCTTTCTGCCAATGAGGAAACTGAGGCCCAGGGATGGGATTAGTTACCCAAAGCACCCCAAGTAAAACGTCTTTAGCCGCAGATTTGGGGCTCAAACCTGGGCCTCTAATTCCTAACAGAGGGTTCGCTCTGCTCTCCCTGGAGTCCCATCCCTGGGTCATCTCCTCCAAATCCGGGCCTCCTTGTGGAGGCCACACAGACCTCTGCCCACTCCAATGGTCTTCAGAGTGGACGCTGGCAGAGCCTGCTCCCCCCTCTAGCGTCTCCCCAGGTCTTACCTCCCAACAGGAGCTGCCTGCAAAACAAGCCGCCTGTTCAGCCTGGGCAGGGACTGGGCAAGGGCAGGGGGCGGACAGGGCTTTAAGCAGGCACGGGGGCTGGGGCCTGTGAGCCAAGCCTCAGGGTGGGGGCATGTGCAGGGGGCGGTGACGCTGGGGTGGGGGTGCCGGCCGCTGTGCTGGCAGGTGGGGGGACAGGGCTGTCG